CTGTCTGGAACCAGCAGGCATGGAGAGAGGTAGGACATGCCCTTCTCCCATCAACCACAGCTATCTGCCAGCATCTTCTAAGGGGATGGTCTTAAGGGTATGGTGCAATTAGCTGATCTGGACAGGCCTGGTAGGTGTACTAGCCAGTCACCACAGTGGTGATGGAAGGGGGGAAAAAAGGAGGATTCATAGAGCTCCTTGCATTGGTATGTCTGTTCATAGGAGTCAAACCAGCAAGTGGAGACCCAGGAGGCTGACCTCCCCATGTCAGACGTCTTCATCGAGAAGCTCCCACCTAGTGGAAAAATCACGAAGACGGAGTCTCTCATTATCCCTTCCACCAGGTAACTTCCATGAATAGCGGTGACAGCAGGCATGTTATCTGCTAGATAACATGGGATGACAAGGCTGCTCTTCATCTTCCAGACTGTGTCCCTTTGTGTTATGCAGCAAGGACAATTTACCTTTAGGCTCTAGAGTGGTTCCCATTACTATAGTCTCTGTGCAGCTCACACTTTTAATGCATTTATCTACTCAACACCTTGTGATGTTTTGCCATTACCCTGTTGTACAGATGGGGAACTGAAGCATTATGTGACCTTTGGCATGTCCCATTGAGTTTGTGGCACAGCATGGAACTAAACCCAGGGCACTGAAGTTCCAGGCTAGTGTCCATGAACAACATGTCCCTGGAGGCTGGGGGGGCATGGTGACCACCCACAGGCGGTGGTGGCATGCTGGTGGGGAGCTCCTGCAGGTGGCCGCAGTGATGGTGGTGGCCGGGGGGAAGGGGTGGTGAGAACCAACTGCCCGCAGGCGCCTCCGGCAACATTGGCGGTGCTTCTTTCAGGGGGTGTACCACCGATCTCAGGGGGTACATGTGCACCTGCATGCACCCCCTACGCATCACCAATGCCAGTGTCTTTAACCATTGGATCAGGCAAGAATGTCTCCTCTATTAGACAATGAAGTCTATAGAGTTGGGACTGCTGGCCTCCCCTCTGTACCTCCTTGTCTCAGCCAGCCATCCTGACTTAAGGCCCTTGAAGGGACGTGAAGGTGACCATAGATGGATGGAACAAGTCACCTCAAGACCCATCAATGAGTTATGGTAAAGATCATCCTCAGATCCAGGGACTGCCACTGCCAGCATAGATAGATGGGGCTAAAGGAAGGAGAGAGGAGTCTCTCGAGCTTCTTCTGCCAGCCTTATAGACTCCTGAGATGGGGATTGGAGGTTAGGTGAGGAAACAAGGTGCAAATGCAAGGTTTAGGGAATCAAGAATTGGAGTCATTCCCTGAAACTCAAACCTGGTCTCTTTTTGAAGGGCTGCAGGTTGGATGTCCAAAATTATTACAATAACTTTGGGTTGGGTTTCTATCCTCCTTGCAGAGATGAGGGTTTATGAAGTCTCTGGGGGTAGGCAGGACTGCAGCAAGAAGCTTTGTGGGATTGCTGAGGTGCTCCAGCTGTTTGCTGTGGCTTTTATTTCTACTCACCTGCAGGGGACCAAAGCTATGCTCTAGCTCAGTGGAGAAATGGTGTCCTTCTGAAATAAAAGCTGTAGCAAACAGCTGAGTTGAGTGTCTTGCCCTTAATTTACCACAGGATACTAAATTAAGTGGGTTCTATTGTAGTCAGGTCTGAGAGAAGCCTGGCCCTTAGGTCTAATGGTCATGTCCCTCCTGGCTGACTCTTGGAGCATAGGTGCTCTCCCACCTCCTGTGGGTGCAAATGCCAGCTGACAGGTAGTGGTGGCAGCCTTTTTGTATACAGTGAAGTAAGAGGCTGCTTCACCCTCCAGTTCTTGGCAGGTGGATGTCATAGGCTTTATTGGGCTTTTCTTCTGTGGAGGTCGAGGCCATTTAATTGATATTGTTTGATGAAATGCTCTTTTGATATTGCAGCTTAATTGGATGAGCACCAGCTATAAACCAGTGGGTGCCAACTGGCACTTTTGCTAGCAGCCTCAGAAAAGAGGCTAAGAACAGAGCATATCTGGGAATCTGAACTTGCCTTTCCTATCCAGAGGTGTGATGGTATGATGGTATCATAGGGCTGAAAGGAACCTCAGGTGGTCATATAGTCCAGTTCTTGTCTTTGCAAGTTGGGTGATGCTTTTTTTGCAGTGCAGCGTGTGGTAGTTTGTATTGCTGCTCCCTGTATTGTGCCTAGTCTGTGACTAATGGAGACTTTAGGCTACAAGGCTGTGTATCCAAAGGTGTTTGTCAACATTGCATTTTCACGCAGTGAGTTTTTAGTGATAGGTTTAGCTGCTGTTTGTCTAACGGCGTAGTTCAGAGTTGCTAGGGACAGAAGGACCAGTTTGGATTTCACCATCACTTCTGGTGGGGAGGCTTTCTAAGCAAAGTGCATAGTTGTTTGTGATAAGGTAGGCAAACTCCCTTGGCATTGGAAGTGCAGCTTCTACAGGCACACCCCAGTTAACTTTTAAGGTAGGAGCTCCAGTGCCAACTGCAGTGTACAGCTGACAGCATAGGCTTCAGCCTGGACTGCTGAGCCCAAGCAGCACCCTGGATATGTATCTAGTGGCTGAATCGTGGGCTGCTAATGAGGCACTCCTAGTGGTACCTAAATTAGATCAAAACCAGCTGGTGTTATGCCCATCTGTACTGCAGTTCTGCCTCAGCAGTGTAGGTTAACCTAGAATCAAGAGTGCAATCTCTTTTAGGGGAAGGATGTGAAAGGGCTGCTTGTACTCCAGAAAGTCTTACCTGAACACACAGAAGCACCTTGTTTGCAGCTCAGGAAAATGCTTCTGGCAAACAGCTTCTCTGCTGCCCTAACAGAAAGGTGACTGTGCTGCTGCTGCTGTCATTTAGCAGGCCAGAAGGGAAGCAAGCTGGCCGTCGGGGGAGGAGCACTTCTTTGAAGGAAAGGCAACCAGTGAGGCCACAGAATGAAAGAGCCAACAGCTTGGACAACGAGCGCTCACCAGATACCAGGCACCACTTGCAGGTGAGAGATGACCTCTACCTCTTCCCCAGCCTTCCACTATTCGTCTTTTCCCAAAATGTGCCCTACAGCATCCTGCTCTTTGCCTGTTGGATATAAGCCTAGCTCTGCTGCTCCAAGGTGGGGGATGGGCCATTCTCCCACACCCCCTCCACCCCACATTCCTGCCTTGCATTATTTAATTGTTTTAGATCCACTAACACTGGGCTGAAAAACACCAGGGCAAATTACAGCAATAAGAAACAAATGACATTTGAGGCCCCCTTAGAAAAAAAAGACTAATGTGAAATAAAGGGAATCGATGAGATGCTCTAGGAGGAGAAAGCAAATTGGAGTGTTCCCAGCAGAGCACCTCCATGCCTCAGACCCTTTTTCAGCCACAGGACTCTGGTTAACATTGGTCCTAATGAGAGAGAAAAATAATTGCCACTTATTATTTAAAAATAGAGCCTCCAAAGCATTTCAGTGTCTAGTAAAAAAAACCCAAAAAACAGCAAAGAAGGGCAGGGCAGAAAAATAACTACTGAACCCCTCAAAGCAGAGAAGTCATTCAGAGACTGGGTATAATACTGTGGCTTTGGGGAGATCTGTGGGTGTCTCCCTTAGCATACAGCAGAGCTCCCAGCTTCTGTAACTGGCTCTGATCTGGCATGAAATTCAAAGATTAGTGAAACCCAGTGTATTTCCCAGACCTCTGTAAAGCTGTTGGCTCAGATGTTGGATTCAGCTTTTCCCCATGCTTCATTCTCTGTTGCTCCTTTTTTTCTTGTTTTACAGATCCCAAGGAAGACTGTGTATGATCAGTTGAATCATATCCTGATTTCGGATGACCAACTGCCAGAAAATATTATTCTGGTTAATACTTCTGACTGGCAGGGCCAGGTAAATGCAGAAAGACTGATTCTGAACTCTAGGCTTTCCTGTTGTCAGTCCCTTTCTTTCCTTATACAGGGCAGAAAGAGTAGGATTTTGGCTTAGGTACTGAACTAATGATTTCCTGAAGTTGTATTTTTTATGTACAGTTGATGGCCAGTAACTGCATTGACAACATTTATTGGTGGTGTGGCTGCAGGTAGATTTATTTTTGTGGAAGAACTCTAAAAGCTTCCTTGACTAGTAATGTGAGCCTTTCCTGAAGTCCTGCATCCTTTACCTTTTAAATAATATTCTTTGATTAATAAACTAGGTAACTTTTTGCTCCCTGGAAATGGCTGAAGAGCTCTTCTCTCTATTACACTTTGAAGAAATGCAAGGTGCATTGAAAGGGGTATTTGATTTCCTGCCTAGGATAGGAGTTAGAGGAAGAGTCTAACTGCCTCTGGATGTGGATTCTACTTGTCCCTGTTGTGAGGTGAAAGATCCAAAGGACACGGTTCTTGTGTGGAAAATAATTGGCATGGGGAAAATAGTGTGGAGAGAGACAGGGAAAGTGCCTTTTAGGGGTGAAGTGAAAGGGTCATTCAGATGATAAATTTATCTTCAGCTACCTGTTACTGTAAGCATAAATACAAACACATTTTGAATAAGTCAGTACTCAGTTCAACATTAGGGCACAGTTTCTGAGCACAAGTGAGACTTGTAGAAAGGAACCTGTTATTTTTAGAACTTTAAAGTACTGTACCCAGTACTTCATGCACATCTGTGAATACTGGCTTAGACCTGAAGACTGTGTGTGTGCAATACATGACTCAGAATTTGTAATGCCTTTCTGAGCTATTACACTACTGCACATTATTTGGGCAAGAGGGTTGGTTTGTCTTTTTCAGCTCAAATTGTTATTATACAATGGAACCATATTCTTTGCAAGGTTGGATCCCTTACCTCCTGTGAGGATGAAAGTTTGCAAGCCAACTTGGGACACATACAGCAAACAGTTTCTTGGAACTACTAAGGTGCTCCAGTTGTTTGCTGTGGCCTTTGAATTAAGTCTGCTGCTTCTGTGATCAGCTGTACAGGACCACTGTATTGCAGAATGGAGAAGCATCACCCTTTGAAGTAAAAGCAACACGAATAGCCGAGCAAATTGTCCTTAATTCTGTAAATAAAGTGGGGTGTGAATCATTCCAGTATGAAAAAAATCTAGATTCGACTGGGCACCCTTCTTATAAGTATAGCAAGTTTAAAAAACAAAAATTAAAGTGCGATTATGTGGGCTGTAGTTAATAGAATTTGTGTAGTATCGACCTGTCTATGGAGAAGGTTGGTACGGCAATCGTGATCTTGCTTGTGGCATTGTGGGACGTTGGGTGAAGAGGGAGAGTTCAGCCCCAATCCTCCACAAAGTGAGAAAAGTTTGAAAGAGTTGAGGCAGATTGGCATCTGGGACTGGCAGATGTAGAAAATTTAACCAGAACCATGGCTGAGCTATAAACACCGAGGGAAAGGAGTCATGAAACTTTTTCCATTGATGCTTATCAGTTTGCTTAGACAGGGCTGACCAGGATGTTGGGGTAAGCCAGGCATGAGGATTGGTGGGGTAGACTGGGAGAGGAAGGTAGTGCAGGATAACTATTTCAGAAGACTAAAACTGATGTTCCTTCTCCAGAAACATGCTTAACATGGGCAAGCCCTGAAGCTATGATGCAGATTTACATTATCCTGGGAGGGATGGTGTATAGTGCACGTTTAGGAGTTAAAGGCTGAAGGCAGTTTGTGAGGTGGAGCCTACTCTTGAGGAAAGCAGCAACATGGGTATCAAGCAGTGGTGCATACCACCACTCCCCCACCCACTCCTGTAAAATTTGAGGAAGTGCAGGAGGATGTCAGTGATGCAGCTTTAATTCCTCAAACTAAGATCTTAAGGAACTGTAGTAGTTCAGAGTCTGAAACGGCTTGTATTTTATGATCAGCAACAGTCTTTGTGGGGAGCACAGGAGTGAGGTCACTCGGCTTATGTAGCAGAAAAATTAATTGGCTTATTCTGTGTAAGGAGTCTTTTGATGTCCTGGAGGTTGGGGGATGGGAAGGGGAAGAAAAAATAGGGTCAGTTAGACCTGCCCTGAAATTCCACAGCTGTCCCTACTCCCGTGGACATGTCATGAAACATCTGATGATGTCTGTTTTGAGCCCCCCTGCTGGTAGAATTGGAGCATCTTTGGAGGGCAGTCACAGGGCCAGCTAATAAGATGCAGAGATTTCTTCTATGAGAGGCCTGCTGCTTAGGCTGCTACTAGTGGACAAGGTGTTGCAGGGAAATCTGGTCCTTTTTGGCAGAGCTCTTAACCTGTTTTCTTGTTTTCCCAGTACCTCTCAGATGTCTTGCAAAAACATACCCTCCCTGTAGTCTGCACATGCTCTTCTGCTGATATTCAGGCAGCTTTCAGCACCATAGTCTCCAGGATACAAAGATAGTAAGTCGTGGGGTTTCTGTTGTCTTAGCTGTCTTTCCATATGCAATAGAAACATGTTTATTTCCTGGCTCCAAACATTGCAATTACTTTAAAGTAATCCAGCCAACATATACTTAATAAACCCACATGCCACAAAAGAAATTAGTGTTCTAACTAGTAATGTGTATAGCTGAGCGATACCATCCATCTAGGTCTCGTCCAGGTCCCAGAGACCTAGCACCTAGGTAATCTCTGGAGTGTGTCCTGGATATTGAGAGCTCTAAGCCATTTTAGATCAAGGAGAGAAGTGTGTTCTCACAGCCTGAGCAGCTTTGCAGAATATCCTGCCCAAATGCAGATATCCTCTTCTGCTCTGGGAGATTGTAAAACAAGTATATCTACTAACCTCTGGAGTGAGATCACTAGCAATAGACAGAGGTGTCTTTGATTAGTCAGTTGCCAGGTGAATTAAGTTTTATGGCCCAAGACTTGTTCCTTTTGAATCCCCTCCAGAAGTCAACAAGCAGTGGGTGTATATCTCGGAACACTTACATTCCTAAACAGCAGAAACGCAGCGATGAGTGGACTGCAAGCTTCTTTTCTAATTAATATTATGTGACCGTATGCCTCATAACTATGCAAACACTGAAGTAATCTAACCTTAAAATGTGGTATGAATAGATAACAATAGTTTATAGAAGATGCAGCAAATTCCTGTCTGGGTCAAGATAGCCATCCTAGTCTCTTGTAAAAACTTTCCAGGAGAAACTGAGGATCTCATAACACTCTAGGCCTGTTAATGTGGGTCATCTTAACTGAGTACCTTCCCATAACTATTCCTGATAACAGCCACTGTCTGACCAGTGCTGCTCTAGTTTGGCCTTGCCATTCCATAAAGCATTCCTCATCTAAGTTGAAAGGGACAAAGGGGACAAAAAAAATGGTATATTGCAAATGCAGCACCACTTGTCTTACTAACCCTCTTAGTGGCCCCATAGGCTGCTGGGATAAATGGGGTGCCCAGATGGGGCTAACCTGTATATTATCACTGAGATCATTGTATGCATTTTGAATAATTGCTCTTTACTGTCTGGCAGTTATAAACTGGATTGGTTATACTTAGCAACCTTCTTGATTTACTCTAACATAGATATTTTAGAAGACAATTGAATGTGTTTTCTCTCTCTCTTTTTCCTCTATCTAGCTGTAACTGCAATTCTCAACCTCCAAATCCAATTAAAATTGCAGTGGCTGGAGCCCAGAATTACCTCAGTGCTGTATTGAGACTCTTTGTAGAGCAGCTGTCTCACAAAACCCCAGACTGGCTCAGCTACATGAGGTTTTTGATCATCCCGCTAGGTAAATGTATGGCACTGTTATAGATAGGTGAATAGGTAAAATGTAATGCATGCCCTCTGGAATCTCCTTCAAGATGTCTCACTCTGTGGCTGGTTGTTACGTGAAACAAACGTTGCTTTTCTCCTATTAATTGTTTTCCTGGTACAGTTATAAAATTTATCTTTGGATTTCTGCAATCAGAAAGTAAAGTCTTGCTTGAAATTTATTAGTATTTCATATTAAACAAAGGAATGAAATGGCCATCTTAGCAAAAGCAGTGCTGTGCTGTAGTGTTTTAATCATAGTTGTATAAAAATGTACCTGTTCTTCTTGCAGTCACTTACACAACTGCCATAGAAACTTCACTGCAGTGAACAACTGTCATACTTTTTTCTTGAAAAACAGTATTCTGAAATCTGCACTGGAGAGGGGTATTTTGTCTGCCTAGAATAGGAGTTAGAGGAAGAGAATATCTAACTGCTTGTGGACTGGATTCTATGTGTCCATGTAGTGAAGTGAAGGATCTGAAGGGCATAGTTCCTGTGTGGTAAAGAATTGGCCTTCTGGCTCAGATCAAGCGTAGAGCTCAAAATGTTGGTTAGACGGTAACGGGCCACTGAGTTAAGTTTAGGGCTTTGTGCTTTATTTTCTTAATTCCAGACGAAGTTATGACTCCCTTAATTGGAAACAATCTTTTAAGTTGCTAATATTTTCTTAAAGGGAAGGGGGGGAAACAAAAACTCTAAGTGAGCTCTGAAACTGCTGATTGGTAAATTATTAAAACTATATATATAATTTTTCCTTTCTTTCCACATTTATTTCTACTTTGATTGCTCAGAGCTCCAATATGAAGCTGGAGATAGGCCTGTTGAGAGTCTCTGGGTTGGAGTCAGAGGGGAAAGCAGCAAGGGTGATGTCATGCTACGGGTCTACGATAGACCACCAAACCAGGAGGAAGTGATGATGAGGCTTTCTTCAAACAGCTAGCGGAAGTTTCCCGATCACGGCCCCTGGTGCTAATGTGGGGCTTCAGTCACATTGACATCTGCTGGGAGGGCAATACATCAGTGCACAGGCAATCCAGGAAGTGTTGGGGATTTTGGGTACAAGCTTTGGGTACAAATACCCTTCATCAGGCTGAGGAGCCAGTCTGCAGTTGGTCTGTGCTCTTTCTGGATGGGTATTTGTACCCGAAGGGTTGCAAAGAAGAATTTTTCCAATTTGAGTTGGTCTAATAAAAGATATTGGACAAGGAACCTTGTCTGCCTGAACATTGACAGAGATTTTGTTCAGGACTAAATGTGCTATTGAATGAAACAACGCTACTTGGACCATTGTGATGAGCCTTTATCCTTTCTTTTTTTATTAATTCCTGGCAAAGTGGAAGAACCAAAGAGAATCTGATTATGCAAAAAAGGTGATATTTGGGCTACTGTCCTTAATAGAGGGCTACAGTGATAACTTAAGGAGAGTTGAAAAGGAAACGGTTTTCTGTGTCTCAATCTTTCAACAATCCTGTTTGTTTCTATGTAACTGAAGTACCCTGGAACTTGCATGACCCAACAAAGGCTTTGACACGTAGTACACTGTTATGCAAGGAGTTCTTCTACAGGGAGGCATTAAGTCCTTGGAGGTGCTTTTGGAGGGACTTAATAGGTTACTGACTCATGACTTTGGCAGTCTTAATTGAAAGTTTGGGTTTATCTGATGAGAGAATTGGAAGCACACAAGGGTAGAAACTCATTAGAGAAGCTATGGAACCTTTTCATCACATAGCCAACCTAGGTCTTTTGTATTTAGACCAGGTAGTGTTGGGTACCAGAATGGAGAGAGGTTAAATTATGACCAGTGGAAATCTTTTATTTTTACGTTCTGTTTTTATCTAACATGTTTAAAATCAGCTTTCTGGTTAGTTGCATCTATTTGTAAAGGAAGTTGTAGCATCGCTTACCTCAGTTTTGGAAAATGTTTAGGTGCCCTGGAATTCAGGACTGCTAAGTCCAGAATGTAATTCTTAAATGTCCTGTCTTCCCACTTAGCAATAGTCAACCAGTTCCCTGGCCAAAGCAAAACTGAAAGTATTACAGGTGAAAGTACTTAGGCTGAGAGCTGAAAAATCAAGTTAGTGGCTAAGTGTCTTTCAGGGCTCATAAAGGAGTATCAGACCTGATTTAGGGAAACCATGAAGTTGCTTAGTGTTTGTATGCTTGGTTTCTAGTAGAACTGCACCTCCTTCTCTGGACCCTTGTTAGCATTTTCCCTTGTTTTCCATTTAATAACTTTTGTGGCTTTTTTTGTCTTTATTTTTCCTCTTCCCCCTTCTCCCTATTGAGTGTTTTCTGAGCTGAAGAAGATTATGCTCTTCTGTTCTGTCTCAGACAGCTATGATGTAGAAGACCTGAAATTTGGAGGGTAAAGGAAGCTGACTTCTCTGAGTAAAGAAATGAAACCTACTCAGTTAATTATAGCAGTTTTCAGGACAGGAGCCTTGATGACCTGTGAGAAGGAAAGAAGGACTTGATTTGGATGCTGCTCTTCAAATAATTTGCAAAATTCCTGCTGACTAAACTGGAATCAGGAGTTGAGTCAAAGGGTCTTAACATTTCAAAAGCATTTCATTCCTCAGCAAATTTCAGCTCTGTCTCTGGTCTTTGTTTTTGTGTGTGGTGTTTGTTTTTTTTTGTGTTTTTGCTCTGCTTTCACTTAAGTGTTGGGACATGTTTTTGGGCTGCTGAAAGAAATTGAAATAAAACAGTGTTTCCACTGCTGGAAAATAATATAGGTCCAAGAATATTTGGTCAGGACAGCAGGAGTTATACTTTGTGAAGAGGTTAGAGAGGTTTGTATCACCACAACTTCAGTTATTGAGGGAAAATGACAGGGTGTGGATATCTCTGCATTGTTATTGCAAATTGGGTACTAAGTATCTGTTACACTGGCTGGTTATTTGTGTAGCTGTACGAGATACAAATCTCTTCCAATTAATTCCTGAAAGTCGTTATTGGCTAGGATACAGAAAAACTTATGGGGAGAAGTTGGATTATGCTGAAAAACTGGTGTCAAACATACTACCTGTGAACTGGATCTGATCTGCAGAGCTGGGTCATCTAGCCCATGGACTCTTGTCCTGGCTTGGGCTGCAGTAGCAGCTGACATTCTAGCAAGAGCTGGACTTCTGGCAGCCCCAGTGGCACTGTGGGCGAAAGCCCTGCCACTGGCCAGAGCCCTGTGAGAACAGGCCACTGGCAACCCCAGCAGCACAGCGGGCTCTTGCCAGGGTGCTAGCTGCTACCACAGGAAGTTTTATTGTGGCCTGCAGGCACCTGGAAAGCAGGAAATGTGGCTGTCCAACTGGGTTGAGCTTGACATCCCTGCTGTAAAATGGGAGCTGCAAGTCCTCAGTGTCTTGGGCATCTGTCCATATTCAGGAACCTAAATTAAAGTACACAAGTCTGAAATAATTGGTCTAACTTGCTGTTTTTTGCAACTAAAGAAATAGACTCATGGAGTGTCTCATGTAGTTTGGCCTCTGAAATAAACTCCTAACAGTTGTGTGTATTCAGTATTTTGTAGTAACAGCTGTCATTTTTTTCCTTTCTTCTTAGGGTCTCATCCTGTAGCAAAGTACCTGGGCTCTGTAGATTATAGATACAACAACTTCTTCCAAGACTTAGCCTGGAGAGATTTGTTTAACAAACTTGAAGCACAGACCACTGGTAAGCCCCTTTTATCATACCTAGATTGCAATGGAGCAAAGAACTGGAGTGAGTTAAGTTATTTTTAGAAGGCTGCAAGTACATGTCAGGGGAACAAGTTTTAATTCTTTAAGATGCAGTTGATTTCTTCCTTTCACCAGCTGCTGCAGCAGCTATTTTTCTGAGCCCTAGAAAACACAAGCTCACTTTTGGGTATCAGTAGGGATCTAGTTGTGGCCTTGGGCAACTGGTGCCTCCTGAGTTGAAATGAGCACTTGCCACCCCCCTCCCCGCCCCCCAGCAGACAGTCAGTGACCAGGGGGGCCCCCTGCAGCCAATCCCTTGGCCAGTCCTGTTCACTGGGGGCAGGGAGTCCTCCCATGGCTGATCCCGCCAATCCACAAGTGGCAGCGGCATGCTACTGGCACTTCCAGATTAATGCAATTGGCTGTGGGGGGGACCATTTCTCCTGGCACCTCCACTCCCCAGCTGGTGCTTCTGGGGGGGGACCAGTGCTCTGGCCTGCCCCACCCTGCCTGGGAGTGCTTGGTGTTGGGGTGCATGAGTGCGCTCAGGGGGTACATGTGCACCCCCTACTCGTTGCTATTGGTTGTGGCGGTATGCAGCTCAGCATGAACTAACTTGCTCAGCTTTTTGAGTGGTTAGTGCAGCCTGTATTCTGCTCTCCTTTCACAGCTAGACTGCTACCAATTGATACCCAAGATGGCTTTGATATCCATACCCTATAGAGCAGCCTCTGCTGTATAGATCAAGTTTAGAGAGAATGCTGGAACTCTAAAATTAGGGAAAGAGGTCACTATAGATTGGCTTTTGAAATATCTGTGCTCCAGTTTTTTCTTACTAGCTCAAACTTTTATTCAGAGTTGAAGTCAGAACACCTTCTTTTTCCTATTTAAGTTGGTGTCTGTTTGATCAAAATAGAGCTCAAAGGAAAATTCTACTTTCAAACTTAATTCAGGAAATTTTGACTGACAAGATGTGTATTTAGTTGGAAGCCATGCACTGTGCTGCCACAATTGTTATTCATGAGTGCAAATGGCTAATGAGGAAGCTGACTAACCTGCAAATGTTATGCCACTGGACTCTCCTAATTGGTGTTTTTTGTGCTTAAAAAAATGCATCTCATGTGGAATCTGTATATCTGGCGCACACAGGTACTTTATGCTAAGGTTGTAGAAGGAAAAGCAACGGTCCTGTAACATGTAAGCACAGGTATTGCATGACTTTCCATTTTACCAGCCCAGGGAAAGAACTTCATGTGCAGAGTAGGATTTACAAAGATTTGTGACTGATTTTGATTTGATCACATTGTTTTCAGAATGTATTCAAAGTCATGTGCATTAGCTCTACCTAACCATTTTGGTCCAGAACTATTAGGGTAAATGTGGTGGGTTTTTTTTAGCTGCTGCTTTATAGCAATAGGAGGATATTTCTTCAAAGAAATCTGTGGAGAACTACTTTTTAAAAGTGGCTGCTGTTTCTCACTGGGATTTAAATGTCTTCTATTTAATATCCTGTCCTTTTTGTGAGGGCTTACTGCAAGTGAAACCTTCCAGAAAGGACACTGCAATTGAAAATAATGGGGAAAGTGGCGAAGTCAAGAGGGCATCTTACCTGAGGCCACCTATGGCCTCAGTATCTGATACTTTAAGAAGATGGGAGTCCTTTTGAAAGACGGTAGTTCCATGTCAACCTCTGAAAAATCTTTCCATTATGAAGAAACTCAAAAATGAACAGGAACCTTCCTCATGTAGTGACTGTAGGGAAATTCAATGAGTTTTAACCATCTGAAAAGTCTGAATACGCCTGATTTCTGTACTCAAATCCTGTTAGTTTGGGGAGGATCTTTTATATCCTTCATATGCAACTATAGCTGAGTTCCTGCCTTTAAGTGCAAGACTGTTCAGCCTTCACTGGTGAATCCCAACTGGCACTGCCAAAACAGCAGTCTGGTCTAGCCTTTTTTGTTTCTCTGCGAGAGGACTCGGCATTTAGGCCTTTTGGTTGTCCCTTTAGCTGACAGGTGCTGCTTGTCCTGTAGGACAGATAATTTTACACCCCTTGGTGGTAACTTCTTGTCCACCATCTACTTGGCAGAAGTCCTGTGTACTGCCTTGAGGCAGGAAGAAACTTTAACTGCTCTGTATTAACTCCATCTCCACTCAGCATTGGTGTGTAACTGTGCTGTCAGGGAAGAGAAAGAGCGGAGTATTAGCACTCTTTCTCCCTCTGTCACCATCTTGGTGGCATCTTGTTTTGAAAAAGAACTTCCTAAATGTGGGTCCTTCCCCTTTTTTTTTTTTAAATCTGGCATGTGACTGACTGGAAGTGTCCCCCTTTTGATTTGTTTTTTGCAATGGATATTAGTCTTGCATGATTTAAGTAACTGCTGGTGAAAATTGGCAGCATGCATTAATCAAGGATCGTCCTTGCTCTGCTACTGTCTTTGTTTTCATTCTGTTGCAGTTCAGGACACACCTGATATCGTCTCAAGAATAACCCAGTACATAGCGGGGGCAAACTGTGCACATCAGTTGCCGATTGCAGAAGCAATGTTGACCTACAAGCAGAAAAGGTATGTTGCTAAAAAAAAACAATGGCTTTCAAAATGTCACAAGACCCAGTGATGGTTGGGAGCAAACCACTTCACTTTTTGGTATACATTGGCTGTCTTAAATTTAGTCTCAAAGAGCAACATGCAAATATGAAAGAGGAACATTGTATTAGTGTGGCAAAGGCAAATCAGGAACTATTCCAAAAAATGGTACTGTGTTTCCATGTAAACATTTTGGGTAATCAGCAGACAGTAAATCTAGAACAACAGTAATCCTGCCTTGCTTCCTTCAGTATAGCTGATGTAGCTGAAGAAGAGAGAGTCTGAGGTGTAGAGGGGTGGGGGGTAGACCCTATGTAGCCTCAGGCGAAAAGGAAACAGTAGTTTCATAGTTTGTAGGGTCGGAAGGGACCTGAGCAGATCATCAAGTCCAACCCCCTGCCATGGCAGGAAAGAGTACTGGGGTCAAACGACCCTGGCAAGGTGATTGTCTAGCCTCCTCTTAAAGACCCCCAGGGTAGGAGTCAACACCACTTCACTTGGAAGTTGGTTCCAGATCCTAGC